AAGTTGAACTGCTGGAGTGTTTTGAGCCATTTTGCTCTCTGGGTTGCAAAAATTCATCAGTAACTTCAATGCTGTACAATCTATTTGGAGATAGACCTTTGTCTGTATAGATAATGACTTTTTATTTAGGAAATGGGAAAATACCATTGAACAGAAATAACAACTAGAGTTAGTACTTTTACAGGCTCTACATTCTGAAGCACTTTGTCATCTCCATAACTTTCCAACAGTTGGACAGTTAGGTGCTAAGAAGACACTAAAAAGAGAAAAGGGTGCTTATCTTTGGTTGAATGCCAGAGATCTATATAGAATTGATGTAAATCATGTGAGTTACACTGTGTACAAAAATATCCACAAAAGAAGCTATAGCAGCATTGGTTGGAGCATCACACGAGAGACTTACCATTGATGTGCTTGGTCCTCTGCATTAGTATAACTGTGAGAATACCTCCATCATTATTGTAATGAGCTATTTTATGAAATGGCCAGAAACATGTTTTTCGAAACCAGGAAGCCGAAACTCTAACAATGAAACTCGTCAGTGAATTCATTTGAAGATTTGGGGTACCGATGGACTCCTCTGATCAAGGAAAGAAGTTTGTTTGTGGAAATTTGCCAGGTTCTTGGAATAAAAACAAGAACAACAGCCTTTCAGCCATCTTCCAACTGCATGCTGGAGAGATACAGCTTATACTTTTGAATCAATTAGTATTTTATGTATATGAACATCAGAAAACGTGGGATCAAAATGTTCCATTGCTAGTTTGTGAGTTGTACACGAAGCTACAGGCAACACATTATCATCACTGATGTTGTGAGAGAACTTTTAAGTTTCACTGGACGTTCTGTAATCTCATCGAGAGGATAGTCCCTCATCAAATTCTTATACAGAGTTTGCAGAGAATTGAAGGAACACCAATGAAGTCATACAGAAATGACTTAAATCATCTGGTGATAAAGTGAAAAGGGTATAGCTGTACAATCCACACCATAAAAATGGACGAACTCTAATGTTAATTAGATGTTGGAAAGGGTCATCTGTTATACCGTAAACCGTAAGAAATAAGTTAAACCATCGAGGATAGAGCTGCCAGTGGATTCGCTTGACTATCTACCTAGGGAGAACTCCCCCAGTGACAGGACAGGACAACACATGATGATAAGGGACAAGAGATAATCACATCTGCAAACCATGACCCTCAGGAAAGGAAATCACTACTATTAATTGCGAGTTGTATTGAACCACAGTACACGAAGCTACAGGCAACACATCATCAATCATTGATGTTTTGGGAGAGAACATTAGTGAATGACAATTTATTGTACTGTTTTATTTGTGCATTAGTGTTATTCAAGGACCTTTGAAATACAGAAAGGATTTTTATCTTATTTTAAATAATTTATTAAATGTTCAAGCTATGGATGTTCCTTATAGAAAAAAAGTGGCAGCAATTAAAAAATAATCAGGTTGCCTCACAAAGGGTCTAAAGGATAAAATTAAAGAAAAGCACTATAAACATAAATGTTTAAATTGACTGCAATGACGTGAGACTTGGGGGATATAGAAGATCAAGAGAGTTGATCAAACGGTTTGTATGTAATTAAGCACAAAGCTACACAATGGGCTATCTGTGCTCTGCCCACCACGAGTATCGAAACCCGGAGTCTAGCGTGTAAGTCCGCAGACATACCGCTGTGCCACTGGGGGGCTTGATCAAACGGAAAATTAGGAAATCGAGAAATATGAAGAAAGATTGGCTGAAAGTGTAAGAATTAATAGTAAGGATTTCTTCAAATATATTAAGAGTAAGCAAAATCTTAGGATGGGAGTAGGGCCTTTGAGGAATGATACAGGGAAGCAAATATCTGATGATTATGAGATGACTGGGTTATTAAATTTCACCTTTTCTTCAGTTTTTACTAGAGAAGATTTAAGTAATATTCCTAATCCTGAACAGTTGTTAGATAGAAACAAGATGATAACAATAATTCTGTACTTCTGAAGAAAAAACTGAAAAAATTATAAAGCTACTTGGTGGGATAACATTGTTGCGTCAGCGAGATCACGTGACTAGTGTCACGCCACCTATTTTCTAGAAATATCCTGTTCCTTCGTGAATGCCCTAACATTTACTAGCTATGTGTTAGTCTGGTATATATATAGGACGCTCACAACGTGACGGGACAATGTGTGTAGGTAATGAGTAATTGAACTGCAGAGACGTGAATTATAGTTTGTTATAGCGCGACTGTTGAAGTTGAGTGTGTCGTAAAGTTGTATTCGGAAGAATAACCAGTTTATTTAAGTAAAGGACTTGTGTCGCTAA